CATCCATCCATCCATCCATCCATCCATCCATCCATCCATCCATCCATCCAATTTGTAAAGCCACCTGACTTTCAGTTGCAAAACTGTTTTGCTGCCATTTCAGTTGCCGAACTTGCATGCAAGGAAGGACACAATCCCCCCCCCCCGAAGCAGTAAAGCATTGGTGTGATTTTGAAGCATGTTCCCCAAATTCTGCCATGCAAGGGCCACCACCATCCATTGCTTTAATGCTTTGGAGGCAAGCTCAACCGGGCTTAGTATTTTCCAACAATTGGGAGACACCCACAGGAGGGGAAGCTCACCAGGCACCACCATCTCCTGGGTTTGGGTGGGGGTCGCCCATTGCCCAGGCCACCCTCTGGCTGGGGAAGACACAGGAGCCTCTAGTATCATCTCACCAGTCATTCTTTCCAGCCCCCCTCCCTCATTTGGGGGAGGGCTCCCTAGGACCTCCCTAGGACCTCCTTACTGTCCAGAATATTCCAACTGCCCCCAGATGCAACTCTTGGGCCTCACTTTTGACTGGCCTTTTGGGGTGCATCCAACACGGGGCACTGGTCCCATCGCAAGTTCACACTGCACATGTCATGGCGACATGAAGGACTGGCGGGAAGGGCTCAGCTGCCTGCTCCCCAAGGCCCAAAGGGGGGACCTATGGAAAAGAATGCCCACCACTCCTGAGCCTTCACCTGGCCTCACCCCATGGGAACCTGTGCAAAGCTGTTTTGGCATGAAAGCCACCTGGATGTCTGGGGTCCATCAGTTGCCAAGACGAACTGTCCAGAACAATAGGCTCCAGGCTCAGAGCGCGGCTCTGGGACAACCTGGATGCTGCTATCTGCCAAACCTTGATGTCACAGGCAGGAATAGTTCCTGCCCGCCCAGCCCAGACCCTCCTGGAGGGAGGGGAACGGGGTGAACGTCCCGCACTGACATTGGTTTGGCAAGTGGCTTGCCATGAACCCCAGAAAGCCAACAGCTGAGAAATGCCCCCATCCCAGAACATGTGGCTCTGATCTCTGAAGCCCCAGCATACCTTCTGCAACTTTATCTAACTATAAGCAACTCTTGATGGCCTTCCCGTCCTCGGGGAAGAGCAACAGGCAGTTGTTATGCAAGGGGAAGGGAGAGTCTTAGAGCAGATGAGAGAAAGCACCAGCTTGCTTCCCGTGCCTTAAGGAATCAACATTGTTCTCTGTCCAGAGGGTGGCAAAATGGTCCCCCCCCCCCCACAGCTAACTGGACCATTTGCACTGCCAAGCAGCCCCTCCTCTGAGAATTCCATACCTTAGTGCCACTGGGCTCTGGGCTCGAAGTTGCCAGGACACTTCTCTGGCAGTTCTTTCCTGGTGGCCTTTGGTTTGTTAGGTAAGAGCTGCGTGGTGACGGCGGTGGCAGTAGCAGCAGCGGCAGCAGCGGCAGCAGGTGAACTTTATAAAGGGGAGGGGCAAGAAGGAAGGGAGCCAATGGCCTGGACAGAAGACAGGCTTGCAGATCCTTGAGTGCCAAAGCTTCCTCTCCTTGGACTTCATTCCCGTTTACTGTGGTTGCAACTCACAGGGAAAAGTGAGGAGCAGCTTCATGGTTATGGGTGGGCTGAAATACCTGGAACAAGCCATTTAATGGATCTGAATGGGACCCATGGAGGAGCATCACGGCATGACTCAGTCTGTGCCTTCTGGCCTGAGGAGGGGGCTGCTCCCCTCTTCTGCTTGGCTCCAGAAGCAGCAGCAGAACCAACACAGCACAGAAGGATGGGCTCTCCTTTGCTGGAGATGCTTAATCTGGATTCCAGGGGTTTCAGTGGGCCCTTCCAACTCTAGGACTCTCCCCACAATAGGAAAGGAGACTTGGGGGCACAGAGAAAAGGGAAGCCCCCGGGCTGGCAGGAGGCTCCACATCCAGCCTCTTTTCTGGAGAGGAGGCAGAGCAGAAAAGAGGAATATATCTTCTCCTTCACTAAAATGGAACCCAACTGAGATTTTCATCAGTCATGAAAATAATGTTCTCCCCTACCCCAGGTCCCATTAAAAGCCATCATGATTATATCTTTAAAGTATTTATACCTTAATGAAGCTGCTTAGAAAGTAAATTCAAATAAAAGGTGGGTCTTGCCCCACCTTCTTCTACCTGTGGAATGAACATGGACCATCAACCTTTTTCTGCTGCATCCCTGGGACTTTGTCTCATTTAGGCAGGCTTAAGGTGTCCTCAGCTGCTGCACCAGCATTGGGTCCCCCTCACAGCCACCTAGTGCAATGTGTCAGTCCCTGAGAGGAGAAAATCGCACTGGCATTCTATCTGTGCCCCACTGGCAATCCCTGAGCCTGCCAGAGGCACAATGTTAGCAGATCATGCTGGCCTTATTCTCAGGGCACTGGGCATGGTGAGCACTGGGCTTGGTGGATTCCCAAACGTTATTCCCCCCTTCCATAAACATTGTCAGCTGGCAGGGAAACATCCACCCAGCAGTCTCCTTAATGCGTCGCAGGAGTGGCATGAGATGGGTGTCAAATAGTTTGGCACAAGCGTTTTATGTGAGTTGGTCTCCCCTTGGACACAGGAGGAGGGTCCAGAATGGGCCTGAAAGATAGGACCCACTGACCAAAGGGGTGGGGTGTGCCCACACCAACCTAGGGTGGCCAATAGAAACAGGACTGATCCTGACCCCCAGGTCACTGACTAGAGCAAAAACAACACAGTTGGTGATGCACAGATTGTCCCCAGAGCCCACACCAGAACAGCTAAGAGTGGCCAGATGAAGGTGACATTATGTGGCTGTCACATAAAAGAGGCAGGTTTGTGCAGCAGCTACGTGCCAGTGAGAAAAGCCACACTAAAGTAGCATGTTTTCCTCTTCTTCTGACAGCCCCTCAAAGCGTGCAAGCTTTTTGTTAGCTTTTTATGGCTCTAGAGGGAAGTCAGGGACTGTGCGGAATGGAAACAGAGGCAGGAGAAAGATCAGCAATCAGGCAGCCCACATACGGGTTGCCTTGCCCAGGAGGGCTTCTTCCCATCAGATTGTGCACCTCCTGGAAACGCCCCACTTGCCAGATGCCCTCCTTCGAGCGCCCATCAAAGGAGGCGCAAAAGGGCCCAAAGAGCCGGCTGGAGCACACCTGGTTAAAAGTGGGGAAGGGCATCCACAAGAGACAAATGTCACTCAAATGGCAATGGCACTTCCCACATGTGTAAAGTCTTCATAGGACACAAAAGTTGCCTAAGCAGAGTCCAAACTGATTGCTCAAGTAACGGACTTTATTCTTGGCTTGGAGAAGTCTAAATTCAGATTCCACCCAAAGTCTGAAGCGAGGTCCAGAGAAATGGATGGTCTGCTGTACTGAATGCTGCACTGGGATGCTCTCAAGCTCCCTGCAGCCTTTCCAGCACAACGGCAGGGACCAGCCATGTCTGCGCGGCTCTTGGCTTAGACTGAGCGGGATGATGCACGATGGAGGGTGGAAGGCGGAGAGGAAACTAGCAATTCGGCACCGACCAGAAAGAAGGAGATGGCAGCTGACAGCCTGTCTGGGAAGTTCCCGCTGCCTGATTTTTAACCCAACAACAACTCTGCTATGAGGAAGTTTGCTTTGTGTGGGAGAGAGGATGGGTGGGTTCTGGTGTGGTGTGGTGTGGTAATAAGCCAGGTGAACCCTGGATCTGTAGACAAAATACCAGAACTCTTGCCAGCTGAAGAGAGACTTCAGGCTTTGAAACAGGCTGACTTTGTTTCAGGCATTGTTACTGCAGCACTTTGGGAAGTTAGATGGTGCCAGTCTCAGCTGAAGTATCCCATAATAACCGGCAAGCATGACCTCCCTGCTGAAATATGTCCTGCATACAGGGGTGGATGAGCTGGTGAAGGGCCTGCTGACATCTTGCACTGAGGGCCACATCATGTGTGGACAGAGACCTACTTGGCTAGGACAGCTCCAGTGGTGGGAGACAAGCCAGCTGCCCCCTGAGAACCAACGGATCCAGACAAGCAGCCTTGAAGAAACTGAAGGAAAGAAAGGGCTGTTTAATGGAAAGCTTCTGGTGGATACCAAGAGTTGATGGATTACTAATTTCTGTCCAGTTTGCCCTGAGGGCCTGGGGCCTTCCTTTCATGCAGTGAAAGTCCACTCCGGCCAAGAGGAGCGCCCTGGCTTCTTTCTTTGATCTCTCTGCGATGCCTGGCTCCCACCCAGGCACCTGTGGAAAACCCCGATCCAGAGCTCCCAGGTGAAGATCACTCATGTCCTCACGGGAACAGGCTCTGCTCCAGCCCACCACCTTCGGGGGAAAAAGGATGCCAGTCCAAACGATGGTTGGGAAGAGAGAGAGGGAATTCAGTGCACAATTTGGCTCAGAACGACATCAGCAGAAGCTTCTTGAGGCCACTAGAATGGCAGCCAGCTCACTCCGGGGAAAGTGAGGCTCAAGAGGGAACCTGGGGGGAGACATGCCTGTGTGACCTGATGGCTGCCTTCGAGAGATTCTGCTTCTAAACTGAATCGTTGGCTTTGCATCTCCATTTGAGCTGACCCAAGGTGAGGCTGTCTTTCTCCCTTCAGCCACAGGATTCGGGCCCTGGAGCCCGATGGAACTGGGGCTGCAGCACTGAGGCATATGATCTGGGTGGCTTTGGCCAGCTCAGAGGGTTCTCCTAGAATATGGATGATTTTCCTTCCTGGCTTAGCTCACTTGGATGTTGGTGATCCACATCATTATCTTGAGGCATTGTTCACTGCCTGGAATGGGACAATGGAAATTTTGTGACTTTTACACACACTTTACTCAAATCTATGGTATGGCACACTTACGCAAGCAACTGAGTGACAATCCCCTAATCACAGTGACCGGGAACCGTGCTCCAAAACCGAGGGAGCATCTTTAACCCAGCAGCTCAGCAGCTTTGGAACAGGAACCTCGTGGCACTGAAGAACAGCAGAAAAGGACGCCAGAATCCAGAAGGGCTCAGCCACTGCGCTGGGAGGATAGGTTGCAACAGCTGCACTCGTGAGCGTAAGCCAAACAGCTTGAGCAAAAGCGTCTGTGTGATCCTGCACAGAGTCAGAGATCAGAAGGGACCTTCGAGATCATTGAATGCAACCCCTGCCTGGGGCAGAATCCAGCATCTCCAACTGATGGGCCACCCAGCCTGTTTAAACAACTTCATCATCCTTACCGTCAGGACACTGTCCTGATACCAAACTGAAATCCACCTGCTTTTCTTTTTCACATCGCAAAGCCACGGAGACCCTTTCCCCCATCGAGCAGAACAGGGGAGCACAGCAGGTTCTCTTTCTGCACTACAGGCTGGGCCTCTACCCCAACCCCAACGCCCTTACCTGAAAAGCGGGCTGGCCTAATCCGTGCGGGCCCCAGAATGACTCCCCATGTTGCTGGGGAGCGGAGCAGGCAGAGCGCCCGACTCAGGGCCGCCTTGTTGGCCTCTGAGGGACCCCCAGAAGGACCGAAGGGGACGGTCTGCACTGCCGCGGAGGGGCCCGCGCGGAGTTTCGCGATCCCTGCTCTCGCCGGCGCCCCTTCCTCCCAGCGCTAAGCCACCTTCAGCAGAGAAGCGGGGCCGAGTCCCCAGGGACAAGAGGCGCCGCCGAGGATCGGCTCCTTCC